ATGACTTAAGAGTCACTTAACAACGATTTCAAATTGACTTGTTTTGCTTTCGAGGTGCGTCAGAAATTTGAAGCCGTTCCGCGTAAATAGAAATCGTTCCCGAACCCGTCAGACACACAGTAGAGATGTAATAAATATCCTACTAACTTCGTTTTCTCGATCCGTACTGTAAGTTACGGATCCTCGTTTTCCCCTTCGAATTATGGCCCGCGCGCTTCGCACTTGGGCCATAAATTGATGGGGAAAAACTGTAAGTTAAGGACCGAGTGACTCGGTCCGTAACTTACAGTACGGCCCTCGAACTCGGTTAGTAAGAGGTATAGGGAACACGGCAAAGAAAAAGAAAGAAAATTACTTGTTTATTTCTGTGATCAAATGTAAATTCTGTTTGCTGTCATCATGACGTCAACAGCTAGTGCTGGCTCTGTGTATAGCTATCCAGTTATAGAAGTAGAGCTTTCAGTAAACTCTTTCTTCCAGGAAATTTTCTAATAAGAATGATATCATAGTTAACGTACTTCGCATTAGTTATCAGTATGAGCATATTGTTACAGAGTTATTTTTCCCTTTTTATCTTTTATCGTATTTTAGTTTCTATTTTACATTTTCCTTTAAACAGGACCCCTTTGATAACAGTACTTATGTACTGAAGGTTCATCCTGTATAAATATTCGTTATTATTATAATTGTTATTATTATTATTATTATCATTATTATGATTATGATTATTATTATTGATGAATCACCTGATGATATACTCTCCTAGCAAAAGCGTAACACATGTGGTTGTGTTATCGACCACTCAACCGTAGGAGAAGCAATACTCCTATTTGCCTCATTCCACGGAGAAGGAGTAATTACAAATTTCTAAAACTTGGTGCACTTGGTAATTATGTTATGAATATTGCGAAAATGTGATAAAGCGGATATCACCGTGTTCTTTTTCGAGCAATATGGATGGCCGCTCCTATTCGACCTGCGAGATTTTCATTAGATACCCTAGAAATCAGAAAGGGAAGCTATCATTTGTTACAAAAGTCACCTCTTGCATTAAAATATTTGAGGCGTTCAACGAAATAGACAAACTATTTTTAAAAGACACTAAAATTATGGCACCAATTTAAGAATTCGCTGCATGCACCCACACATAGTATTTCCTAAAAGCGCGTTTTTACAGCATTCAAATGGGAATCAGTATTTCCAAGCAGAGTTATTAACTTTTCTGTAGTCAACCGCGTGCCATTAAAGTTAAATTTATTTATCAAAAAGAGGCGGTCACAGTGCTAGAGAAAACAGCCAGCTCAGCGTCAAAGAAATCTGACAATGTTGTGTTTGTGCTCGCTCGCGTGTGCGCGTTAAGAGAGAGTTTAAGGCCTAATTCACACTAGCGA